TAACGAAATAAGTTTCTTTTGAATTATGGATTAAAATCAAATGTAGACATGATCCTCGCCGACTGCAGAAAAGTTGACTGTAAAAAACAAATTAAGGCTCGGACGGGATTCGAACCCATGCCACCCAGATACTAATTGGGCGATGCTACAAACTGAGCTTCAAAGCCACACGTTATGATTGAGAAAAATTTTGGAAGATTCATCTTTTTTTTGGAGAAAACTTATGCATTTTGCAATGAGATAAATCAAATAGAGCCATGACAAACGCAGGTGAGCTAAAATTTTGGCAATTACAGAACAGTCCGGAAAAAAAGGAGAAAAAGGCTCGTTCTTTGACCTCAGTAAGAGTTACCTCGCTCCCAACGTGGGAGGAGTCGAAGAATCTGGAAACAATTTTGCTTTTATTATTATTTTTTTATTTTTATTTTTCAACACTTTAGGTGTATTAAAAGGTGTTCGAGTTTATTTATTTGATAAAAATTTCCCTACGGAACTGTGATCTGCGTTCTCATTTTTCGTTTACCCGCCAAAGTTGCTAGGTTATTTTGGAAAACTAATGAAGCTGAATAGTGAGAGATCAGAGATGTCTATAACGTATTGAATAGCAACTATAATTATGTATCCTCTGGAAATTTTCATAGTGAAAAGCCGACTGAGGTTGCGGTCTCGAGTAAGAACTTTGCACCTTATGCTACCTTGTCTCTCCCACTAATGCATTCACAAAAAGCATTGAATTGCGGTGTGAAATAATTCTATCCTTAAAAAGAAAACAGCTTGGTTTAAAAAGAGTTAGTAGTCACCTCTTCTAAATCTGGCTTCTACTTTTGTGGTAATTCCATATTCGAGTAAAACGCGATCAAAAATTGACACGTTTGGCGTGCTCTATTAGCTATTAGTTAAAAATGCATGCAGATGAAAGACTGCATGCGCGCAACACGGAAACTACGTGCCCTACACGCACTTGCAAGTCTGACTGTGAGATGCGTGTAAATTACTCGAATTAAGTCAACTACATCTCATTAAATGTGTTGACTGAGACAATTAGCTTCAAAATTATTCGTAAGATTTTTGACCAGCATCAGCCAGTAACTGCACTTTGCTGGGTTTCTTATTAATGAAAAATGCGAGTATCAAAATATTAACTTGCACTGCTTCCGCTTTTCTTCAAACAGTTTCTTCCAATTGCCACGAGTTCACTTGAATTTTTGAATTTAATGATCATAAAATGGAGTTTTTGAAGTAAAAGCAAACCAAAATTGTAAAGTGCCCCACCCATCACAATCATTAAACAAATCGCACAATATTGTGAGTCGCCGGGCTTCCCGTTTCATTGGTATGCACCACTTGTAGTTACTTAACATATTTTTAATGTCAGATTAAGTGCGCCAGACCAATTGAAGAAAAGTTAACTAAAACAAAAAATTCAGGCTCGGACGAGATTCGAACCCATGCCATTTCAAGACTAATAGTGGAACAAAATATACCTAATTTTCTCTTTTGTTTTTCTTGGACCTTAGCACTAAGAAAACAAATAATAGATGCGGACTTTTTTTGCCGTACATTTCCAATTATTGGTTATTTATCTCCTCTGAATGTTTCATGATAAGAAACTGACTCCTTTATAATTATTTCCTTAAACCATACGATAAAAAAGCGTTAGAACACAGAGTTGAGTTGAAATAGAGTTTGCTTGTGCGGTCTTGCAGCCGAGTTTTAGTCAAGTAACCATTAAATCAGTACCTTTTTTTCGGTTTATCGAATTGACGATCGCGTCAAATTTATCACTACCCTACATCACTCCAGGGCATCGTTTCATACTTCCCAGAAGCCCAGCGCGTTCGGGATTGCCTTCGTCTGTATTTTTCTGAACAGACTTCTTATTTCAGTGCAGATCGGTTTTGCGCACTGGAGTAAATTAGTAAGTTAAAGGGAAGGATAGACCTCAAAAATTGAGAATACTAATAAAAAGGATTGGAAAAATTGTTATAAGGTAAGCCCTGAAAATGTTTGTCATTAGTGCCCGATGATTTCCGAGGGTAAAGATCAGAATTCAGATTCCGATGATTTTGAAAACGATCGATACACCAAAAAGTGTAAGCCAGCACCTTGAGTAAGATTTTATTTCAAAAGTTGTAGAATGAACTAAAAAGTTGCGTGAACATTGTAAAAACGCTAAGGAAAGAAAAGCCCATGTTAATAAAATTGCCCTATGAATCTGTGATCTGCGTTCTCAGTTTTCGTTTACCTGCCAACATCACTTGGTTATTTTGGAAAACTAATGAAGCTGAATGGTGGGAGATCAATGATGTATGGCAACTATATGTATCCTTTAGAACTTTTGATAACGAAAAGCCGATTAGTGTAGCCATCTTGAGTGAGAACTTTCCATCTTATTCTATCTTGTCTCTAAACTTGCCCTTTTTTCGGTTTGCGTGACACTTATGCATTCATTTTAGTCGTAAGTGAAGCGATGTGCGTTTTCTCTGGGGAGACCGATTTTTGAGCTTTCAGCGCAAAAACCATGCATTGAATAAGGATGTAAAATAATTTTATTCTTTAAAAAACAGCTTGGTTAATAAACAGAGTTAGTAGTCCCCCCTCTTCTCACTCTGGTCTATACTTTTTTGGTAATTCTATATTCGAGTAGAAATTTACACTATTTGCGAGCTTTACTAGCTCCATGACTAAATGATTAGTTTAAAATGTATGCAGTTAGAAGGCTGCTCGCGCGCAACACGCAAACTGCGTGTCATTACACGCACCCGCACGTGTGAGTTTGAAAAACGTTTAAATTACACAAATCATTTAACTAACTCAGTACACACATTAAACGTGTGTACTGAGACAATTGGATTCACAATTTTTCGTTAGATTTTTGACGAGCACGAGCATATATAACTGCACTTTGATGGGTTTCTTACGAATTAGAAATGCGAGTATCAAGACTTAAAAGATTAACTTGCACTGCTTCCGCTTTTCTTCGAACAGTTTCTTCCGATTGCCACGAGTTCACTCGAAGATTTGAATTTAATGATCATAAAATGGAATTTTTTAATTAAAAACAAACCAAAATTGTGGAGCACTCCCCCCGATCAAAATCATTCAACAAATCGCACAATATTGTGAGTCGCCGGGCTTCTCGTTTCATTGGTATGCACCACTTGCAGCTACTCAGCATATTTTTAATGTCAGATTAAGTACGTCAGACCACAATTCTCTAATTGTACCAAGTGTTTAAATATCTTTTCGAAGTTTGCAATTTAAAAGCTCTGCATGGCAGACATTTCCTGGACAGAAAAAGATCAGCCGTACAAGGAAGAAAAGAAAATCCTCTCGCCTCTCCAATGGGAAAACAACGAGAAAACTACATTCATAACAACAGGATAAACTGCAGACAAGAAGTTAAATGATCACCTAAGTTATAGCTTTATTCGTCTCTTTTGGATTTTGGATTCCTCCAGTACCTTAGCATGTTGTAGTCATCTAATCTTAAATAAATTTTTAAATTGATTTACGGTAGTCTAAACGGTAAGCTTTTAAAATGTATCTAGTGTTGGATAACCTTGACCGAACTCTAATATATAAATATACTTTTTAATAAAAATGGTCAAACGAACAACTCCAAATTATGTGTTGTTCAGAATCACAAAATTGACTTATCATCACGGTTCTGAAGTTTACCAGAAATCCGATCTCAATTGTCGTATATATCAAGACTGGTCAGAGGAATACAATCTACCATCGCGACAGCGAAAAAGCAAGAAAATCCTCTGAACACGGCCCAGAAAATAGCAAGCGAAAGTTCAACCAAACAAGACGAAGAAGCGACAACGGAAGAAGTGCCAGGGTCGATTGCCATATATACAGAAAAAGAAATAAATACCGTCAATCGCGATGTTACACTTTCAGTGCTTTCGCTTGGACACTTCATTTCTTTCAGTTTTGCCACCAAAGAGGTAAAAGGTGCAACTTATTTTCTTTCTCGCTATTCGCTAACGCAATGACAGTTCTGACAGGCGAATTTGAAATGGCTTTCTGGGGCGCGCGCTCAGGATGAAAACAAATAATATTATTACTGTTTTCTTTTTTTTTATTTTTATTCTATTATGCGATTCAAGGAAAATCCATTTCCTGACTCGTGAATTCGGCGTTATATTGCACTTGAAAACTGTTATCGCGCTCATCACTTCGCGATATCGGTTTTCGCGTGTAATTTAACGCGGAATTCCCTCGTCAGGCAATAAATTTTCCTACAAAATTGATTTAAGGTAGCCTAAACGGTGAGCACTTAAATATTCACCTAGTTTTTTATAACCTTCTCTAACTCGGCGTTAAATTGTACTTGAAAACCGTTATCGCACTCATCGCTTCGCGATATCGGTTTTCGCGTGCAATTTAACGTGGAATTCCCTCGTCAGGCAATGAATTTTCTTACAAAATTGATTTAAGGTAGCCTAAACGGTGAGCATTTAAATATTCATAACCTTCTCTAACTCGTAGTCAAATAAGCGTTTTATTTGCCCGTCGGATACATTAAAAGAGGTATTTTACGCTCAACCTCGATAATATTTTGCTACTTTTTTATCGTATGGGATTTATAATGGTAATTTAACTGAGTGGAGTGCAATTTGGGATGAAATCATACGCGTGATTTCAAAATCGAACGAGCGCGCAGCGCGAGTTCGATTTGAAATCACAAGTATGATTTCAGACCAAAATTGCACGACACGAAGTTCAATTACCACTTTATTACATCCATTTTGAAATCACCCAAATACAGGACTTGGTCAATTCGAATATTTTATTGATGCAGTACTGAGCCGGTTTTTAAATAAAAAGCGGAACTGGAAACGCTTTTACATCTCATTTTGTATGCAAAACAGAAAGACTTTGACGTCATGTGTCAAAAACTCAGTCAAGCGTATCAAAAGAAAGACAACTTTCATTCAAGAAATTCGAGAAGTGCTCAATAACTCAGAAAAATAGTGAAGTGTTAAAGTTCAGTCCTCGTCGTCTGACTCAATGATGTAAGCTCTTCGTTTCTTCTGTGGTTGGAGTGGAGAATTCTGGCTTTCTCTAGAGAAGAAATTGAAGGTGCAGCCTGTGTAATTCTGCGATGGAACGGGAGCAGCACAACTGAAGGCTTCCATGCGGTACTGAGACTGCAACGGAAAACGTGGTGGAAATCCTGAAAATTCAGCCGGCTGAAAACCAGGATTGGAGCCCATGGCCTGATGCATTTGGCCTTGTTGTTGGACGTGATAAATAGGAACCAGAGGTGTTCGTTTATGTTGCACTGCAATCTCTTGATTTGAGGCTTCATTTGCAGTGTTTTGGCGGGAGACTTCGTTTGCTTGATTTTCGTTTGACACTTCTTTATATCCACTGATAATGTGAGACAGTTCTTTCCTGTGATTCTCGTCTATTTCATCGCAGTCGTCTAACGAAGATTCACATGCATGGCCTGTTATTTCACAGATAACATTGCGCGGTTGACCAGACTTCTTCAGTTTTGATACCAATGTTTTCCTCATGTTGTGGTTCGTCAGCTTCTTATTCGTCCTGAGACAGGAGGCCATGGATTTCATTAAATTGCCGATGGTGTTTTGTCCCATTCGAACTTTGGTGTACCAAACATCTGCTGATTTAGGACGATTTATGATGCTAAGATAGAGTGGCCCTGTGTTCTTCATTCCTTCGGGTCGCTTGGACAACCAAAGCTTGAATAGCCGCACTGGATCGCTTTTTCCGCCATCGGTGCTGAACATTGCCTGTGGTGTTGTTCTTCGCCTGATGGTGAGACCACCGCTCCGCGTTTTTGTGGGACCTTCCCTGAACTCAACAACTTCAGTTCCATCCTCTCGCTGTCTTATAATTACGTCTTCTACGTATGCATCGTAGTGTTCTTGGCGACCACGAAATCCCAGTTCTGTCAAATTTTTGAAGTTGACATTGGTCAAGACCTTTCCATTAAAATCACCCAACTGACCTTTTTCCCACAGGGCTGACTCTTCTTCAGGTGTGATTGGCTGAGCTTTGTTGGGTCTCTTTCCCTTTCCTTGTTGACGTAGGGAAATTGCCTTCGCATTGAGGATTTCTTGTGAGGAGTGAAACTCTCTCGATCGCACGATGCTCAATGGATAGTTCTTCTCCTTTAGATACCGTTCAATGGCGCTCAGCATGATTTTAAGGGATTCTGGCTCGTAGTTATCTCCGTTCTTTTTTTTCACCTCGGCGTAAAACTTACTCAAGACCTTGTCAAGTTTTTCAGGCGCCATTGTTTCGATGGAGACATTTTCAAGATGGCGGCATTGACACCAGCTTCTGAAAACATTCATCCATTGTTTTGTGGAGCGGGACGTATTTTTATTCGAAGCGACAGACTTAAGCTCCTGTATTTCATCGCTTGAAATGATAGGAAATCTTGAAACATCTAACTCTTGTGGTGGCTTTTGATTTTCTTCGTTTGTTGCTGACTCAGTGGACTCGGGATTGTGCGGATTTTGAGCTTGAGAGGGTAGAAAATCGTCAAAATATTCAACAAAATGTACACGAAAAGTGGGAAAGTCCCTGGAATGTTGGTCTTCAGCCTGAAGGATCTCATTGTCATCATTCAAAAACTGGAAATATTAAATTCATCCATTTTTGGGGGGGAAAAATAAGAGTTATGGAAACAAAAGTTGCAAAATTTGCGAAATGATACTCTTTGTCTTTCATTTTCCTGCAATTTGATTGGTTACTTTAAACAAGCCTTGAAATCTGATTGGTTATTTTGTTTTAAGTGTAACTTCCTCATTGGCTGGAAAAAAGATGCGATTTAGAGCAAAAAATGGTGCGATTCGTGAATAAATCGCACCAATTAGAGCCAATCATATCACAGGGACCACCAGTGATTTCAAAATGGATGTAATAAAGGAGACAACCAGCCAGGGAAGCTACCACCTGGGGTCTACAACAGCAACATTGAATTGGCCGAATTAAAAAAAAATCAAAACATAACTTAATGTCTGATACTTAAAGAATATATTCGTCTCTATTTGTGTTCAATAACAACTTGCGAATAATTTTCTCAATTACCGAATGTGAGTGAAATTATACTCACACCGATTGCTGTCAGCCTTGAGGCTAATTAATTGCCGGAATAAGGTTAAGGTTGCCGTCGATTTTGCTTAAGACGTAATTATTTATGAAATCAATAATGGACCAGTTTCTCAAAAAGCACCTATTTCCTAGGAGGCTGGATGATAACAAGATTAAGAAGTTGCGTGGTGATTTATTTACTCCATTGGTGAAGCTACAGGATCCTGTAATTCAGGAAGCTCACTTTTAAAACGATCCACTTTAACTTCAAAGGATATTAACTTTTGCTTTAAATTTTTCCACGCAAGTGACTAATGGAATGACTTACACTTCGCGCCCAACTCGCACTTACCTTCGTTCTACTGAAATCCCAAAAAATCACGCCGCTGATTTTGAAAACGATCGATACACTAGAGAATGAAAGCCAGCACCTTGAGTAGGATTTAGTTTCAAAAGTTGTAGAAATTAACTACAGCGTTGCGTGAACATTTCGGAGAGGCTAAGGAAAGAAAAGCCCAGCTGATAAAATTGCCCCATGGAACGGTGATCTGTTATCTTAGTTTTCGATTTACCCGCCGAAGTCGACAGGTAATTTTGGAAAACTAATGAAGCTGAATAGTGAGAGATCAGAAATGTCTTTATCGTACTGTATGGCAACTTTACGTATCCCTTTTGAACTTTTCATAAGGAAAAGCCGATTAGTGTAGCCATCTTGAGTGAGAACTTTGCATCTTATTCTATTGTCTCTAAATTTGTCCCTTTTTTGGTTTGTTTCACTCTCATGCATTCGTTTCAGTCGTTAATGATGTGATGTGCGTTTTCTCTGGGGAGACCAATTTTTGAGCTTTTAGCGCAAAAACCGTTGAATTGCGGTGTAAAATAATTCCATCCCTTTGAAGAAAAAAAAAAAAAAAGCTTGGTTTAAACAGAGTTAATAGTGCCCTCTTCTAACTGTGGTTTATACTTTTCTTGTAATTCCATATTCGAGTAGAAGGCGATCGCAAATTGACACGTTTAGCGTGCTTCATTAGCTCCATGACTTAATAATTGGTTAAAAATGCGTGCAGTTAAAAGGCTGCACGCGCGCAACAAGAAAACTGCGTGTGAGTACACGCACTTGCAAGTGTGAGTGGGAGATGCGTGTAAATTACACAAATCATTCAACTACAACTCATTAAATGTGTGTACTGAGACAATTGGATTTACATTATTCGTAAGATTATTGAATAGCATGAGCTAGTAAATGCACTTTGTTGGGTTTTTTATGAATGAGAAATGCGAGTGTCGGGACTTTGAAGATTAATTTGCACCTCTTCCTCTTTCCCTAATGGTTTCTTCCGATTGGATGATTTGACTTGAAATCTGAATATACTGATTTTGGAATGAAGTTTTTGAAGAAAAAAAAATGTGAAGCGCTTCCCCAATCACAATTGTTAATGCTTCGATGAAAGTTTTGATGTGCTTTCTAAAATTCGTTGCCAGGCGCGTTACCAAATTTTTCTTGATGTCTGTTTTCTATATCTCAAATTCAGAACGCACAAAATTAATTTGTTTGCGTGTGTGCTGCGGGCTAAATGCTCACCTAAAGTATCTTTTTTGCTTCTTATTGGGATTTGGGTCGCATTAGTTACCTCAGCCTCCTGTAACTATTCGATCACGTATGTTATCCTGTCTAATCTTTGACCAAATTTTCATACACATCCACAGATCGTTAAGCATAAATGATATCAAGAAGTTGTCTAATAATTTGTTTGCTGAATTATTCAACTTGCAAACCTATTAGCTTTACTTTAACTGTTCCAGGATTTTACTAAAACACATGTTCCTACATGAATAATGAATATCACACAGTTTCTAGAACTCTAAGCTATTGGCATAGCAGGTGGCGTAATACACAAAACGATCGCAATGCTACATCATTTAACAACTCAACTTCGACGTAAAGACAAATATAATTGGAAACATAGTGTTCTTAACAATATCAAGTAATCGGAAAATAGAGGCACTTGCATTTAAAAGAACATTAAAGAAACGTCTAAACAACCCAAAGTGGATAATGATGGACGGAAAAAATCATAATATGATCCCCTCACCTCTGTAGATAGAAAAACAACAACAATAAGGACAACAAGGACAAAAACAGCAAAAAAAACATTAAATGCTCATTTAAATGATCTTTGTATTCTTCTTATTAGGATTTGAATTCTATCAAGTTCTTTAACCTGCTGTAACTATTAAATCACGTGTTTTTTATATGCCTAATCTTTGTAGTGGCTTGTCTGGCAACCAAATAAAAAATCTACCGCCAGGAGTCTTCACTAACAACACCGAGTTGACTTACCTGTAAGTGAAACATTTGTAAGTTCATATTTGATACTATCGATGCTATGAATTACTATAATAATTGTGTTTTACACAACACTTATTGTTATATTTTTTAAGCAGCTAATGTTGATTCCATCCCACCCATAATATAACACGAGTTAAGCTGTAAAGATCTGAATTCAATTTAATCAGAACATATCTTTACCCAGTCCAGGGTAGTAACATCAAGAATCGCATCTCCAAAGTTATCACCCCTATTACTTTAAAAGTTGTCGAGGAGTCCGTGATTTTTCTATTATCTTTAATTCACGTCTCTAAACTTCACCAGAGATTGGATCTCGATTGTTCCTTATCTCATTACATTTACCTAATTCTCTGTTAGGTAAGGTAGATATCGACTTTTTGCCATACATTTCCAATACACACCCATGGGAAATGTATTTTTTCCGATGGAATAGGCAAAATTCTATTCGTAACACCTTCCAACGGATGTAAGATACGTTTGACGCGAAAGAGTACTGGAAGTCAGATGAAAATCAAAGAGGGCAGAAATGTTGTCCGATGGTATCCGCCGATACCCATTTGTCGAATGGAATCCGATGGGGTCCATGGGAACCCAACGGAGTCCATCTATGTCCATCGGAATCACTAGTCTTGTGGTAAACTTAACCTCAGACAAGTGCAGTATAAACGAAATATGCCTCGTTCTTAAAGCCATGAAGCGAAACAGCTCGTTTCAAGCGCGAATGACTTGAATATATACCTTGTTTTTCAACCTTAAAGCAAAACAACGCTTTACCCTTACAAATGCGGTATCCATGAAATATAGTCCGTTCTTTAGGCCATGAAGCTAAGGAGCTCATTTTAAGCGCGGACAACGGAAAATAACCTCGCTTTTTTGCTTAAAAACAGTCAAATGAAATGTACGTAGGAAATGCCTCGTTTTTTATGCTATAAAGCGGAACAGCCCATATCAAGTGCGAATGACTAACAGCGACTTACGGCGCTTTACGTAGGCAAATGCAGCAAGCCTGGTATATGGCGAAATATGCCTCTTTTTTAAGGCCATGGAGCGGAACAGCCCATATCAAACACGAATGACTTGAAAGATACCTCGTTTTTCAAGCGCGGATAACTTCAAATCTCATTCTGTAAGCCTTAAAGCAAAAATACGCTTTAAACAGAAATATGAAGCACAGTATACGGAAAATATGCCTCGTTCTTAAAGCCCTGAAGCAAAACAGCCCATTTTAAGCATAGATGACTTGATTTATATTGTGTTCTTTCAGCCATTTAGACAAAAAGGCGCTTAACGCAAAAGAATTGGATGCAGCTTACGTAAAATATGCCTCGCTTTTAAAACCATGAAGCAAAACGACTCATTTCAAGGGCGGATCACGTGAAGCATATTGTGTTCTTCACGATCGCAAATTGACACGTTTAGGGTGTTCTGCTAGCTCCAGAACTAAATATTTAGTCGAAAATGGATGTAGTTGGAAATTGCGTGTCCTTCAGGCACTTGCAAGTCTGATTGTGAAACGCGTGTAAATTAAACGATTAGTGTAGCCATCTTGAGTGAGAACTTTGCATATCATTCTATCTTGTCTCTAAATTTGCCCTTTTTGGTTTTTTTCACTCTCATGCATTCGTTTTGGTCGTTAGTGATCTGATGTGCGTTTTCTTTGGGGAGACCGATATTTGAGTTTTTAGCGCAAACAAAATTGCGGTGTAAAATAATTTCATCCTTTAAAAATTGTCACATTTAGCGTACTTAACTAGCTCCATGACTTAATAATTAGTTAAAATTGCATACCGGTAAAAGGCTGCACGCGTGCAACACGAAAACTGCGTGTCACTACACGCATTTGCAAGTGTGAGTGTGAAATGCGTGCATATTGCACGAAATCAGTCAACTACAACTTATTAAACGTGTTTACTGAAACGATTGAATTAACATTTATTCATAAATATTTAAAGAGCATCAGCTACTTACTAGACTTTGTTTCATTTCTTATTTATCAAAACTGCGATTGCCTTGGAAGATTTATTTTCACTGCGTCCGCTTTTCATCAATGGTTTCTTCCGATTGCCACGAGTTCACTTGAAGTTTTGAATTGAATGATTATGGAATGGAGATTTTTAATTAAAAACAAACAAAAATGTGGAGCACCCTCCCGATGACAACCATTAAACAAATCGCACAATGTTGTGGGTCAGCGGGCTT